ACACAAAAACACAATCCATTCATTTTCACAGCACTGTTTTGCAATTTGCTGTGTGCACATTGACTTTGGAGCTCTGTACTTTAGGAGGTGAGGGTACTGAATAGTTTTGACACAAAGGTGGACAGATTCTTGTTAGGCAATGGAATCAGGGGCTCTCAGAAAGCTGGGAATGTGGAATTTGAAATTCAGCAATGATCTTATTGAATGGCAGGAGAGTCTTGAGCTGGTTTAATGGTATGCGTCTGCTCTTATTTCACAGGTTGCTAACATTTGCTGTTGCTTTACTTATTGTACAACAGTGACTCCTCTTTAAAAATCCTTCACTCACCATTCAGTGTTTTAAGACTTACAAATACTGTCATGTAGACAGTAAATACTCATGAAAGCGTGACATAAATCTACATTTATTCTACCTTTAAAGTTACTACTTTACACTGATGGAATTGCCTTCCATGAAAAATATGGCAAAGTTATACAACCTCAGGATTACTGAGCAAATTCTCACTGATAGAAGCAATGAATCTCATGGGACTAGAAAATTGAACCAAAGGAATAACAATATTACTCCAATAAGCTGCAACTAGTGTGTCTAATATCCTCAGTTTAAAATTCAGTGGTTACTATTCCAGAAAACCACAGTTAAACATGAGGATTCTTAGCATATTCATTTAATTCTGCCTCATAGGATGAGAAGAGAAGCCAATTTTGTAGAATAAAATGCAAGGACAAATCGAAGTCCCAACCTAGATCCAGCTTCACATTTCTCTACTTCCTTAATGTTTCTGCCTGCAGCTGTGTGATGCTGAGACTTAACAGTTGCTTGCTCGTGTCTCCATTTTCAGCCGAATCAAAAGACAGTGATTTGTAGCAACAAAAAAAAGGATGTTTTACATATGTGTTTTCTCCGCACATGGAAGGAAATCATAGAAAGTGACCAAAAACTTGCACAAAGTGATACATTTCAAGGATCAGCTTAAAGTAGGAGGCAGAGAAAGACAGAACGTCAGAGCTTCAGCCGAGACAGCTGAAGGCAGGACCACCTATGGTTAGGGGGGACAAAAACACACAAGGCCAGAATTAAATTCTCAAACATTTACAACACAGAAAGAGGCCATTCAGCCCATCATGTCGGCACAGATCTGACAATATCAATGCCATTTTCCAGCTTTTTTTCCTATAGTCCTGAAAGGTATGGCAATGCAAGTGATAATCTAAATACTGTTTAAACGGTTACACAAATTTGTGACTAACTATTCTTTCAGACAGTGCGTTCCAAAACCCAATAGCTCCACCACTCTTGATAATAAATCTATTCTCAACTCTCCCCTCGGCCTTCTACCTCTTATTTTAAATCTATGCTCTAATTGATCCCACTACTAATGGAAAAAGTACCCTCCTATCCACTTTATCTATGGCCTTCAAATCTGTGCACCTCAACCTTCACTGGTACATGGAAAACAGCTCCAGCATATCCAAACATTCCTCATGTTGCAGATCTTCCAGCTCAGGCAGCATCCTGGTAAACCTCCTCTCCAGTATAATCACATCCTTTCTACAGTATGGTGCCCAGAACTGCATGTAGTACGCCAGTCAGGGTTCAACCAGTTCCAGAATAACTGCCTTGTTCTGGTATTTTGTGTCTCAGCAATAAAGGTAATTAAATAAAGAATTAGAGAAGAGTGTAGGGTTGCAAGAGATAGGGACCTTCTACATAAAATCAAGAAATCTTCCCAAAAGAACCTAAAACCAAACAAACAACCAAAACAATGCTTGGTTGCACAAGTTATTTTGCACAATGTACAACACTGACATAATTTACATTAAAATTAAGTGAACACCTGACAGCATCTTCAAGCAAACGAACAATAAGCCCGTTTCCCCGGTTACCTTTTCATACAGGTAAACGCCGGGGCTGTATAAGCACCTGACTCCGTGCTAAGGACAACGGGTTTTGGTTTTGTTCGAGTACAAACAAAATATCAGCGAAGTCTATCTCACAAATCTGCAACGCCGCTTTAATGTCACTTGCTTTAGGAAAGGCAACATGTTTTAGACCGTATTCTTTCCCTGGGGTTTGCTGAAATCGCATCGAATGGCAAATGAGTTCCCCTGCAAGGTACAACAGTGGGAGGTTCTCCCGGGCCGCGCTGCCAATCTCAGACAGGGACTGGATAACGGATTAGGTAATGCAGGAAATACCAGTTCAGAATCACCGCCTACTGTATAGATCATCTCCTGTGCTTTTCTCTCCTCCGAGCAGGGGGGAGAAAAATAAACTCCAAGACCATCAATTGCACAGAATAAAGACTTCTTTTTGCATTAGACAATTCAGCTTGTTGGTTAAATTCTGCAATGTAATTTCCTCCTCAAACGGCTGCAGCGCGGTGAAATCTAACCTGCTACCTCAATAAATACTTCCCAGGCAATGCATAAAGTATTCCAGGGTTGCTAACTTTCACCATTTAATGAAGGAATGGGGGAAGATCAAATATTAATTTTCTGTTCTGCATTTGGTTCGAAAGAAAATTCTCGCAGTTAAAAGCAAATCTGGCTTTGAAAAGTTTAGCCTGTGCGTTTGGTAGTTTGAAAACAACAATCCAATAAAGTACAAATCGCACCAACTAGAAATTTGGAGTCTGTAGAGAGCCCTGGGTGATGGAAACTGCAACTTGGATGATATTGGGCGCTAAGATTTACAAAGATTCCTAAACGCAAAACAAATTCAACCCTAATCTACCATCAAGAGCTGAAACAACGCATTAAACATGACCCATAGTCACCGTAATGTGAATTTAAAATAGCATTCCCGTCTCCGAAGCAAATCACTGTAAACCACTGCAATTATTTTTATTATTGGAACAAAAGGACGCAGCAACCATACGATTCCCACCCAAAGCAATAAATTGATAAACAGACACTCACAATGCCTCGCTCCAAGTCATCTCAGAGGTCCACTTCTTCCGATGCATCCTTTGCAGATACAGTGCATGGCTGTGTTGCAATTTATATATACACACACATATATATGTACAAAAGCAACATGCAAAGAGAGATGGTTGCGAATAATAGCAATTGCCTCTACGAACCAGCTCCTATCTCCCTTTCCAACGTAAATGGCCATAAAATAGAAAGGACGAAGAGGTGGCTTGCAGCTGTTGATAAGTCCTCTGCTGCTCTGCGAATGCTTTCCACTTCACGGTGCTGGGGTAAAAGTCGTCCATGAAATAGAGGTTGCTTTGCTTCTAGCTGCTGCTGCTCCTCCATCACTATTCCATGTGCTCGCACGCTTTCGCGACGTCAATGGAACGTTGCCCGGCGCCACCAGCGACTGACGTCACGGGACCCGGCGGGGAAACACCCACCCGCACGCCGGAATCCCGCCCGAGGACCTGGAAGATTGCGTCCTGTCCACAACACTTACTCTCTTATTACAAGATGTGCATGGGTGGTCAAGGGGTATGAAGTGAAGGCGGGGGTGTGCAGATTCTCTTACCTCTCTCCATGTAGTGCATAATGCATTTTCGGTCCCCCTCTACTCTTAGAAATATTCATACAATTTTCCCCAGAGCATGAAGCTAGATTTCACTAGAGTAATTTTTAATATTTGTCCAACCCACAGCGGCCAAGAATTTGCACTCGTTCATGCATTTCTCGCTCCCGTCCTCTCCAGTATTAAATACCTGCAACCATTCAACATTTATGCGTATTTTATGCTTCTTCAAAATTCGTTCATGGGATGTCAGCATTGCTGTCTCAGCAGTATTTATTGCCCATTCCTGATTGCCCTTGAGGTGGCAGTGAAGACAAGTTTGTGTCTAATAGCTATGTATTCAATCTTAGTCACCTTCTGCAGAGTATCTGCCAACATATTCCAAATGAATGCAACTATGTTGAAATGGGAATAACCACACTGCTAAAACACCTTCAGATTTTGCACATATGTGGAGCGTGTATGAAACGTTTAAGAAGTGAATAGCACTAAGGAGCTTGAGAATTTTTGATGGGAACGTTACTTGTTTATTACTGATGAACCAATACAAATAACTAAAGCTGGAATATCAGCACATTCATTATGATTATTTCATTATTGTACAAGTTTTAATTATTACCTATTCAATTGCTGTATATCAGTCAGAAATTCATTGTGTGACTTAAATGTAGATGTCATGCCTGTCTCCAATGTTTTACACATATGAGTGGATATATAATAGATCAGAGAAATTAAATGACATTATTTTACTGGCAGAGAACTGAGATGATTTAAATGTGCTATTTATAACAATCATTAGTGTTCAGGCTCCACTGAGGCAAGTACTGCCAATTATGAGGATGCATATATGTGGTCATACCCAATGATTTCCATAGCCCTAGAATGGATAACTATCTACACAATGGATTTGTTTTCTTTGAAAGTGATGTTAAATGTTCAGAATTGTATGGGACTATCTGGCAAAAGTGCAAGATTATCAATGAAATCATCTTGAACACTCCATTCTATTGGCTAGCTGAGATTTCTGGTGAAACTTTGACTGTTAGCTTTCGAGCTGACAAGACCAACTAATTTCCTTCCACTCAATTCTCAGAATCCATCAACCACACCCAACCTCGTTTCCCTTTCTGTAAGCTTTGTGTAGATCAGCACTTCATTGGTTCAAAGAATGAAGTTAAATTTCATAAAGTGGGAGAACCTAACTAAAGAAAGTAATAGTACTTGCTTAATTAATTGGCACATTTCCTACATTGGTATAACTGAAGAGTAAATTATATCAATTAATCATTTTTCCTGAACTAAATGGTGGTTGAGATCAAATATATACTTTCCATTATAGAACTTACATCACTCCCTCTTTCCTGCCCAACTATTTCTTGGTGCAAATAACATTGGCCTGCCAACTCTCCCCTTCAACTCATACACTTACATGAAGTGAAAAGACATTGTGACACATCAATTGCAGTATGTTGAACAAAAGTGATGCAGTAAAAGAAATTACAGCCAAGGATTAAATGAAATTTTTTATGGCACGATTCACATGCTGAGAAACTTTGCAACAAAATTTCAGGTCATCACAAAACTGCTTAGCAAGTGATTTTACATAAACTGCTAATTTTTCTACAAGAATTTTAATAACTATACAAATCTTTACAAAATGGTAATTAAAACAAAAAAGTGTAGACTTAAACTGTCAATAAGATTTTCTTTTTTTTAAGAAAAATAAATGCATTAAATACAAATATATCTGTAAATTAAAACTTGGCGAGACTAATACATGGTAAATCCACCCCGCCAGAAAAAATGTGGTAAAGAGTCTTAACATATAATGAGGCAGTATCACATATTTCTGGCCAAAATCAAAGTGTCACCACAAAGAATAGCCTGGCCATGGTTGTGTAGTTTCAGTCTATGATGCATTAGCATGCAGGAAGAAAGTTCAGCAAAGTTGCATGTCTATGTCCTGGAATTTTCTTGTAAAGAATTAGAAAGCAGAAATGCCTTCAGGCAGTTCAGAAAAACAAGAAAAATGCCAATGATTAATATTTCTGTCTGCTAGAGTTCCTCAGCTGCTCAAGCCTGTGTTTCAGTTGTTCTCGCTTCCTCCTCAACTGTTCTTTCTCCAATATCAGTCTCTGTTCATTTGACTGGATTGACAATATGTGTTCTGTTGCCTTTTTGAGGATGACCACTTTGGCCGCTTTGTCATTCATTGCCACCTCCGGGATTTGATCCCTTAAAGCAAAAAAGCTCAATTTCAGCTCGTTCCTCCGTTGGCGCTCCAGGACGTTGTGCGTCCTCCTCTTGTCGTTCTCTTCAGAGTCTGACGTCCTCGGGCTTGGGCACTTCCCCTTGCTGTTGGTGCTGATCTGCTTGAGCACTCGACTGCTCTCCACCTTGAGGCGCTTGGTGGGAGGCTGGGGGGAGGGAGCGGCGTAATTGTGCTGATGAGTGGAGACGTGGCACCGCTTGAGAACCAGAGGGCTGTGCTGAGGTCGGGAGACCCTAACTGGGTTTGTGTTTAACTCGGCTTTCCTGTTAGAGGGCTGCCTCTTCTCCACAGTGACCACATCAATTTCTTCTTCATCCTCCTCTTCCTCCTCATAATCATCCTCGTCCTCATCATCCTCCTGCTCTTCTTCTGGAAAAGCAGCAATGGAAAAGGGAAGAGAAATTAGATACAAGTCAACAGTGAGCTCATGACACAAGCTTAACAGCAGCCTGAACCAAGCATTCTTTTTGCAATGGGGCCCCAGTCAGCTGATATTTGCATTACTAAATTCAACCTAAGCCTCTTCAGTGAAGGATATTGCGTAAGGAGGTCTTATATATCCGCATCCAGTTCTCTTCTCTAGCTCTTTCCTCCCCCTGCCAAGACAGCCTCTTGCTGGAGTGCCTCAGGGAGTTGATTAAATCCCGCCCTGCTTGGTTGGAGGGGGTGGTGAAAAGACTCTTTCATAAAGGCTGACGCCCTCTCTTCAAACTCGTCGGCCTGGAATGCCCAACCCCCTAATTACACTTTCACCCAGTTTGTCCCGGAATGACCGATCGACAGAGTGAGGGAGGAAAAAAATCTGCGCAAAATCCCTTCTGTCTGCCTGTGCATTGTAGCATGTAACCGACGCAACCTCTTAAAAAAAACGTTAAATTCAACACACTTTTTAAAAAGCCCCCACAACCTTTAAAAGACACCGCACTTACAAAAAAAAGTTGCAAAAAAAATTTTTTAAAAGAGACGAAATCTTTGCATTAATAAGATTGAGGAATGCAAGTCGAAGTGTTAAAATTCATAAAATTAAATTAGTGGGTTTTGCAATGCACCCCAATTTCAACCCACACCCCCAAAAAAAGGTTCTAAGCATTTACCACATACAGCGCCCCTGTAGATACACTAAGAGGTCACTTTCCTTACCGGAGTCACTCGGCGTGTCTGTGGCAGGGGGGCTGCCGGCTCCGGGAGGGAGGGGCAGCGATACTTTATGCTCGGCGAACGGATAAGGGAACACCACCGAGGGGTCGATGCAATCGGTAGCCGAAGTGTTGAGGTCGTGCAGGTAGGTGCTGGAAGCGGCGCCCAGCCCCATGCCTAGGTGGCCGGGGGTTGCTGCAGCAGCAGAGACAGCGGAGGAGCTGGGGGCAGCGGGAGGGGTTAAGACGGCACCCCCGGCCGAAGCGGGAGTATTGCAAGATGGGGTCCGCAGGGGAGGTGGGGAAGAAGAGGAGGAAGGGGTGGAGGAGGTGCAGGGGGCTCCCGGCTCCTTCCTGGCCGCTTGCAACGAAGCCAGCCGCTCGCTCACCACCTTCTCCAGCTTCGCTGCCGCCGAGAAGCCGCTCCACATACAGTCCTGGATGATGATGGACTTGAGCACCGACTCGCTGTCCGCGTCGCAGATGAAGCTCTGGTTGACCAGGTCGTCGCCCAGGAACTCGGTGACCATCTCCAACTGGTCGGCGTTGGAAGGAAAGAGGCTGAAACTGGGTCTGCGGCTTGGCGACAGCGGCGGGGTGGGCAGCAGCTCGAATTTCTTCCAGATGTCCTCGCTCGGAGCCGGCAGCTGCTGCTGGTAGAAATTCTCCTCTTCATCGTAGAAAACCGGCTGGAAGGAGTCGTAGTCGTAATCATAGTTGTAGCTCTTGCCCAAAAAAGTGGCAGAAGCCGTCAGGGGCATCTTCAAATCGGGGGTGAGAGGTCTGGATAAGAAACGGAAAAACTGTCACTTTTTCCCCCCTCAAAATTAAAAAGACACAGCCCTTAGAACAAATGCAACAAATGAAAAATTGTGCATTGGGTTTTAATTCTCTGACACACATACAAGCCCCTTTATAATTGCCAGCTCAAACGCTGGGCTTTAAATATCTAGCGTTGACGCAGCTCTGTAAAAAAAAACCCATATACATCGCTCACTGCAAAGTCTGAATAACTTCTAATAAACCGGAGGGAAAACACCCCTACTGGTTCTGTGTGGTAAAAGTACACATTTCGTGTTTTAAAACAGAGCACGCTGTTACAACAGCCTTTTTGTTTGCGTTATTTAAAATAGCTTTCTGGAATTATATAAGTTAAAATTGCAACACTGGTTACAGAAAGCAGCAACGCCGGCCGGTCTCCGACAGCTGAAATGCTGGGTTTCTTAGGGCTGGGCGCTTTGTTCAGTCTTTTTTTCCCTTATATATTTATTTATCGGGACAAGCGAGAACAGCAACACTTACCGGAGTAATGTAGCAGCGTCTGGGACACGGACTCCAGGAACTGGCAGAGCCCCCTCCCCTCTCCACTCCTCTCCGACACCAACTCAAAACACCCGCAAGCAGCAACGGAGTAAAATCCCCTTCCCCCTTCAAAAAAAACCACCCAACGCAGCAGTCTTCTTCTTCTAGTGAGGCTCCTAGTGTTGTAATCTGTAGGAGACAAGACACAATGATGGCCTTAAGTGAGTTTGCTGGCTTCTGTCTATACTAGTCGTCTTTCTCTGCCTCCTCTGTATTGTCAGATCCTCACTACCCTGGTTACACTAAAGTGCTTTAACCTATCTAGAGTGCGTGTAACCGGTTTAATGCTTTGATAAAGTCCCGCCCCCTTACCCCACCCCCACAGCGCCATACACCTACTTTTGGCGCCAAAAAATTACGCATCCCTTGTAACAATTTCTTCTCTAACATACATTTCACAACATGTAGCAAAACAGCAACTCCCTCTCTTTCCCCTCTACCCGACCACCAGCCCTCCACATCACACACACCCCTCCCCAACCACACCACCTCTTTATTCAGGAGATGGGAGGAGAACAGTGCAGGATTTTTTGTCTGGATAGAAATACACTGTAGAGAACATTGACCACTTTCTCTGTGGGATTTTAGTCTATTAAGTAAGAAATAGGGAGGGCGCTGCTGTAGTCAAGTTAACTTATTCGTTGCCAAGCTGACAATTAATTCGATCGATATTGAACGTTCCTTTTATTATTTCACGTTCCAATTTTCCTGTTCTGTTGACTTTTTTCCTACTAATCGCATTTTTTCTTTGAATTGCTTAAGGTAAGATAATTATTTAAAGGACTGGACTAAAGTAATCACTCAAGGAATCACATTAGGAGTTCATCGATGTCTTTACTATCCATTGTCCGTTGTCTTTTCCTTTGTTTTTTTAAGTCTCAACTCTTTTTTTGAAGGAGGTTGTCCAAACATCCTCGACAGTGTTTATCCTAACCCATGCGGTTGTTATTATTGCTGTTGTATCAGAACACGGATGACCCATTCCTAATCCAGTGCACGGTGATACATTTATTAAATATGATGTAACTGTTAAGGAATGTAATAAATACAAATTATTTTTTAAAAAAACCGAAAAGATGACAATCCTCACAGATGCTTTTTTGGGGGGGTTAATTATAAAATGGAAGTAAAATACTGCGGACGCTGAAAATCTGAAACAAATTCAGAAAGTGCTGGAAGAAACTCACCAGGTCTGGCAGCGTCTGTGAAGGGAGACACAGTTAACGTTTCGAAGTGCAGGAAACTTTGGTTCTACTCGGTAATTGTTTTGTTAGATAACTGCAAAGAACTGTTATGTAGTAATACAAGTAAGAGCCACGTCAGTGACACAAATGTGTGGAAATCTGACAGTATGAAGAACAAAAAAAACCCCTGTGTTTTCAAAAACAAAACCTGAGGTAAAGGTATCAGTTGAATTTCCCGCGATTTTGCCTACTCAACGAACTCAAATAAACGAATATTTGAACCAAGTACAAACCCATTTATTTCTGCCATTAAGCGGGTGATAGACACAACAAAAACCTATGGATTTATTTATCGTATGTAGTCAATTATAATTATGAAACTAAACCTTTTCAAAGTGCAAATATGTGTTTGGTAAATTGTCTACACTTATTTAAATTTCTGATTTTTTTGAACGAACTATGTCACGACATGATTTTTTTTCTGCTCATGATCGATAATTTAACCATTTTCTATGTAGACTTTATTGTTTCATTTCTTAATTATCTTATTCTTTCTTAATTAGTGTTGAATTGCCTTTTCTCCAAAAAACATGGAATATTTCCTTGTTCTTTAAATAACCTTTTTGTGCACATATTCCTGACAATGTCAGCATTATCAGGTCTCAGTGAAACATGTTCAAATATGGTGCAACGCATGAAACAAAATTGAAGGGGGAAAGTCCCAATAATTGTATGGATTGTAAAACTAACTTTCGTCGTATAATTGATTGAATTGGATGAGCTGCTGGATTGCCCATGTGGAACCTGTGTAATGAATACCGTGTTTTTACTCCGACTTTCCGCAGTTGATGGACTTCAAGAAACAAATGGATATTGTTGAATGTGAATCCCATCAGCAACAACTGGTCAATAGATTTTTTAAAAATCTGCTCGACTAAAATGGTTTAAACGCGCCCTCTGCTGCTGAAACCTGACTTTAACTTACAATGGGGCTATTCATTGCCTTGTTTGCAATAAGTACCATAAAGGTTGAATTGTGGGAGCAGTGCCCAGTTACCTATCAATTCATCTCTTGGATCCTGACGACTGCCCGCTTTTTGATTTGCAGTATCAGGCAAATGCCATTCGCTAATCTCTTCATATAATGTAGGTGTGCTGTAACTTTACAAAATTCTTTCTGCTGTCCTTTACCAAACATTGACACAGCCAAAATCATAACTGCATGACTAAACCTTCAACAAATGTTTATAAGATGACTTTTACTGCCGATATTATGTCTGATCCCGCATTTTTTTCATCCAGCTAAGCGTTTACATTCTGACTAAATGATGCTGGGTACAACTTTTGACTTTAAAATTTTAGGTTTAGAGGGCATTTATACTTTTTAAACATCTGTTTTGGAGATATGGGGTGTCACTGTCTAAGCCATAAATTGTTGCCTGCCCCTAATTGCCCCTTCAACTGCATTGTTTTGTTGGGCCATTTCAGAGGGACACTTAGGAGTCAAGGACATTGCTGTGAGATTGGAGTTATGTATAAATGAGTCTAAGTAAGATTACCTTTCCTAAAGGACATTAGGCAACCAGATGTTTTTCTTTGATAACCAACAGCTTTTAATTCTGGATTTTTATGGAATTCAAATTTCACTGTCTGGCATGGTGAGATTCAAACTCATGTTCCTCAGAGCAGTAGCGTGGGTCTATGGCTTCCTAGCCCTGTGATATTGCCAATACACCACTGCATCCCACATTCTTGTATATTAATTTTATGACCAAAATGACAGTTACAGTCACCCCTCTGACCTCCCCTCCCTCCTTCCTATCCAATCCACTTTGGAATGACTTTCATACATTTGCAACGAGATGAAGTAAAATTCTATCATATCTCATGAAAATTATTAGCGTAGGAAGCATAACTCTCAACTGATAATTGGGTACAAAACATTGCAGCTGGTGGAAATCTGAAGTACCTAGGGACAGGAAAGCAAACTAACGTAACCCTGGAATTGGTCCTGTGCACCCAAAGACTGAAAACCAAGCCTGAATCAGCCAATTATTTGTTGGAGAAGCCCACTACAAATTGATTTTTATTTTCAAAATCATCAGGCTTCCATTTGTTGCACAATTTATTAGCAGGAACTAGGCCAATCAACCCCTCAAACCTGTCTGTGTGATGGATTTTGAGCCCTAAAGAGCAACCAGTTTTAAGGAATATTCCTGGTCTCTAAATGAATTCAGGAAACAGTGCTTTTTAGAATGCTGTCTCTCAACACTGCACAGTAGAAAATTATTAAAACGCTCTAAACCTGAAAACTAAAGTCAAAAGTTGCACCCAGCATCATTTTGTCAGAACGTAATAGAAACAGCTTACAACCACTGTGCAAGTGATAGATGCACCTAAAAAATTTACCTGTGTTTTATTTTTCATTCTGTGGTGCATTTCCACCATTGTCTTATACGATCAAGAAAGTGGGGAAAACGGGGATTTATACATATGCTGCTAAGAAGCACAATATATTATTGAAATATCACAGAAGACGTAAAATATGGAACTTTCATATTCATATTTGTGTGAAATAAGGAAACAATCAGTTGCCAAAAAAAGACAAAATTCTACTGTTTCTGGAGATAGGTCATAGTATGTCTTCTAGCAGAATCTGAAATGAAATTAAATTTCCTCTTAGCTTTTTTCTCCTTTTATTCCTCTTCATTCTTATCATTGCTGGAATTTTTCTTGCTCAGGTAAAAATTGAAAATCCTGAAAATAAAGCCATCAGAAATTGTGAAGGGAAATTACCTGTTAATGTTTGTGTGCTGTTGTAAAGATAGGTCTAAACCGAAAACATTACCATCTACAGGTGCTGACAGGCTCTACTGTATCCAATTTCAGAACGTTTCATTTTGACTTAGCTGCCCTGTTACCCATTCCCAATTGCCCTGGAGAAGGTGATGGTGAGCCACTTCCTTAAACTGCTGCAGTCCTTAAGGTACATTGCTGTTTGTAAGGCTGTTCCAGTGCTTTGACACAGCAACAGTGAAGGGATGGAGATATTTTTCCAAATCAGGATGGCATGTGATTTAGAGGGGAATTTGCAGGTGGTGGTGTTCCCTTGCGTCTGCTGTCATTGTTCTTCCATGTGGTAGAAGTCATGGGTTTGGAAGTTGCTGTCTATGGAATCTCAGTGAGTTGCAGCAAGGCATCTTGGAGTTGGTTCACACTGCTGCTGCTATGCAGCACTGATGGATGGGGTAACAATCAGGCAGGCTGCTTTTCCCAAGATGGTATTGTAAAGTTTAGTGCAATATCGCATTGTGCTTCACAGCCGCATTATAAAACAAAATATGACTCTGAGCTACGTATGGTGATATTAGTTCAAAGAGCTAGGTTTTAAGGATTGTCTTTTGTAGATAGAGTCACCGTGAATATTTCAATTATGCTTATTTTTTCTGTTAGATTTGGAAGAAGTTGGAGATTTCAAAGTTTTTAGACACGTGCAGGTCCTGCGAGGCAAAGTTTAGTAGATAGCTGATAAAACTCTAGAAGAGAATTTCTTTTCTTTAATCCTTCTCTATAATGTGAATCAAATGCAGTCACTGGAATCAAAATCTTCCATTGTCCTGATGTTGTTTGTAAATAATAATCTTGTCTT